GTTGCACTACGGATGTACGCTCTTTCATGGGTTTGGCTGGATATTATCAGCGATTCGTCGAGTCATACTCGAAAGTGGCCGCTCCTTTATCGAGACTTCAGTCCCCGAAGGTGCCCTTCGAGTTCGACGACGTAACCCGTGGCGCGTTCACTACGTTGAAGGCAGCGATGCAAGCCGCACCTGCCCTCCGTATATACGACCCCACCCTACCCACCCAAGTGACTACGGACGCTTCGGGATACGGTATTGGTGCGGTGTTGGAGAAGTGTCACGAGGACGGTTGACATCCGGTTGAGTAGTTCTCCCAGAAGGTGCCTCTCGTCAACACTCTTGATGACGCTAGGAAGAAAGAGCTACTAGCGTTCGTCACCGTCCTCAAACGGTGGCGCCACTTTCTTCTCSGCCGTCGGCGTTTTAAATGGAATACGGATAACAATCCGTTGACATTTTACAAAACGCAGGACACGGTCACTAGTACGATCGGTCGATGGATGTATTACATCGACCAGTTCGATTTTGACCCGTGTCACATTCCTGGTCCCGCCAATCGAGCTGCGGACACCCTCTCACGACGACCCGACTTTTGTGCCATTGTGACCACGACATTCGACCTCGATGACGATCTGCAACAGCATTTCGTCAAAGACTACAAGTCCGATCCGACTTACTCTACGCTTTACGCAGAGCTTTCATCGGATCATCAGCCGGCTAGCCATTATCGGATTTCCGACGGGTTCCTTCTCCTTCACACGAGAGGAAAGGACTTGTTAGTTGTGCCCCAAGATCGTATCTTACAGACTCGTCTTCTCGGTGAATTCCACGATGCACGACTTTCGGCACACCTTGGCGTGAACCGCACACTAGCACGCCTCCGCCAGCGTTTTCACTGACCCGACGTCCTTCATGACGTCACGAGGTACATTGAGTCATGTGCAGTTTGCCACCGTAACAAGGGTCGATCTCGAGTCCCCTTCGGCGAAATGAAACCGTTGCCGATTCCTCGGGCACCACGCCTCTCCATTGCTATGGACGTGACAGACCCGTTTCCCCGCGATCGCCACGGCCATGACCGTATTCTCACGGTCGTTGACCGTTTGAGTAAGTATGCTCGCTTTCTTCCTTGCAAGTATCATGTTGCAGCGCCTGAGCTCGCACGACTCTTGCACACCGGTTGGATTACCAACCAAGGTGTTCCGGAAGACATAGTGAGCGACCGAGACACTCGCTTCATGTCAGCCTTTTGGACATCTCTCATGGCGGAGTCCGGCACGACAATGAAGCCGAGCTCAGCTCGGCACCCGCAGACGGATGGTTAGATGGAGCGAGCGCACCAGACCGCTCAGATGTTGTTGCGTACGCTCATCCGTCCCGACCAGAAAGATTGGGTTGATCGGCTTTCCGACATCGAGTTCGCCTACAACACTTCGGTGCACCCGGCGATCTGCGTCACACCATTCGAGCTACATCATGGTGGAGAGAAAGCACGGATCTTCGCTGATCTCCTTTTGCCACAGGTTGCCGACATAGACGTCCCTTGCTCGCCCGCTTCTGTCAGGAAGTATCGGGACTTGCTGATCAAGGCCAGCGCGAATATGCAAAAGGCTCAGGTCCGCATGCAGCAGCAAGCTAACCGACGTCGACTTCCATGTCCTTTCCGCGAGGGAGACCTTGTTTGGGTCCTCTCCGAGGAATTTGCGCTCGAGCAGGATGTTTCGCGCAAACTCCTTCCGAAATGGTTCGGACCATGGGAAGTCACTTCTGCTGTTGGAGACGACCCCGCCGGTCCTTCCTTCGTGATCAACATTCCACCGCACCTAACAGTGCATCGGGTTTTCCATGCATCGAAGTTGGCCATCTACATGCCACCTCCAGCTGATGAATTCCCCGGACGTCGATCACAGGATCTGCCTTCTATGGACGGACATCAGGAAGTTGACCGAGTCATCACGCACCGCAAGTATGGCAACAAGCCAAGGCAATACAAGGTCACATTCAAGCAATGTGCGCCTGATGACACTTGGTGGATCTCCAGTGAAGATTTGCAGACTTTTGCACCCCTCATCTTCGCAGACTATGAGAAGCGACGCCTTGCTAAGGACGCAGCTCGTCCCGCCCGACCCACCCCGATATCGGATCAGGCAACGTACACGCTGAGCCCTCAACCCCCAGACACCCCCCCAACCACAGCACCCCCCAGCAGACCAACCCCCCCCCACCTCGAAAACCCAAAATTTTATTGGAAATTCGGGGTCCTCTTGCCGAGTGCAGAACGACCCTGGTTTCAAATAAGAAGAAAAAACGTTTGGGTGGTTTTTGGCCCGCCCGGATTACCAGGGCAGACCCCCCGCACCCGACCGGCTGGGGCCAACGGCGTCCTCACTCAGGAAAAAAAACAAATGTAGATAACATAAGCCAACCATTTGTTTTTAACTCACCGTTATTGTTATAGTGTTGTCGTTGAATATTGTAGTAGTAACGTATGCCTTGTTGTACACAAGATTATGATCTCTTGCGTACATAGTCACATTCCTTATCCCACCTGTTGAATTTTTGAAAAACAATGAAATAAATGTTAGAATAAAGCATTCTATACTGGACAGTCTGGACCTGCAACAGAAACCGCATCTAAATTTGCAAGGGTATTGCGGTGGGAGACCGGGTAGTGAACAAAAATGGCTCCTTAAAAGTAAAAACATAAGTTCACGCACAAAGCATAAAAATAAACTCACACGTTTCACCTGACAAACAATGTTGGCTTGCAAGTTCGAGAATAAAAGCATCAAGAGCTGGGAATGGTGATGCTGTCATCTTATGTGGTGCACTTGTTCCAGAATACGAGCCAAAAACTTCTTGAATAGAATCAGTCTTCCTTGCCATATCATCGCAGGCAACAATTTCGTCCAAGCCAGTTTCGTCCTATTGAATGAAGAGTAGACGTGTGTCAGTGTACGAGCTTAAATCTAGACTCAGAAAAGTAAACAACAACTTCGTGACAGATATTCACAAGAGGTAGCAATTAACAGCAGGTAGAGTCAGAGTTCAAATTCTTAGATATATAGATGAAACATGCAACATTTTTTCTAAAAACTGGAGAAATGCAAGACAACAACTTTATGTGGGTTGCTCAGCATATTTGTCTCATGAACCAGGGTTGTATCCCTGCCGACCCCGACCGCCGACCGTATTGCATCCGACTAGTAGGACCGACCGGTTGGCGGTCTGCCGACCAGTCAAAAAAGAAAAAAAGAAAAAAACATGTATTGCGCTTGCTGAGTACAACCCAAATCCGCTGAGAAACGTTTGGGGATGCGGGGGGGTATGGGGGGCTTGGAGTTGGAGCATAAGAGGGGTATAGGGGGATATAGGGGTGATATGGGGGGTATTTGGGGGTGGGGGGTAATGAGGGTTTTGGAGGCGGTTTGGCGGGGTKGGGGGGGKGTATGGGGGTTTTGGGGGCTGCTACGAGCCTCGACCTGTAGGTGCCGACCAGCCGATCAGTCGGCAGGTGGGCAGCCGACCAGTCAAGGGCTGCTGACGGTCGGGGGGCGCAACCCTATCATGAACTGCAAAAAAAGACACTTCCTAAATGGTATGACAGGTAGTATACTACATACAAACATACATGAGTTCATACCATATATGCAAGCGTAAGTCATGAGCTAGATCGTGGACTCTTGGCACTCATGCGCGCCACAATTGTGCGATGCACAAGTCCCCAGGCCCACCTCCCCCCCCAAAAAAGATAGGCAGATGTCATTTTGTTGTTACTGCCAACCCCCTGCAAAAATAGGTTGAGGGTCTAAGAATAAAATTTGTGGGCCGCACTCAAGCGCGGCCCGAAACGAATTCGAAATTCAGTCGAACTCTGAAGCACAAAAAATAAAAAAGAGAAGGGGCAGGGGGGGAGGGGCGCCATTTTTTTGTGCTCGTAGTCTTGGAGCCCGGTCTTGGAGGATAGACTTCCACGAAGCAGCGCCGTCCTCCACCGCCGTCTTCCACATCGTGAGCAGCGCCAACGGCCTTCTCCTTTCCCCGTCGTTGACCAGCCTCGGAACCACCATCATCACCGACTGCCATCGTCTTCCTTTGCACCAAGTGGGTCTCCACCAGCCCTCCTACCCTCCCTTGAACTCAGCTCCTCTCGTCTTACTCTCCTACTGATCTTCCCCCTTCCTCCTCCTCCTCCTCCCCCTCCTCCTTCCTGTTGCATACTTCAATGAGTATGGGCAGAATCAAAGATCAACCAATATAGGATAAGCATTTATGCAGCGGAAGTCTGATAACGAACTGACTCACATAGACTGACTCACATAGACWGACCTACATGGCATCACTCCACACAYATACAATCATGAGATGGTGGGGTCTGGGTCATTCATAGASGATACCSAGATCCCGTACACACATACACAGATGAAAGGTGGGAGGAGAGACGAAGGAGGTAGGAGGTAGATCACACCGATAGGTCACAAAGATAGAGTCTGATAGGTCTCCGAAATGGTAGTCCAGAATGTCATATAATAAGATCAAAATGTCGAGGACCAAAGGTCACCAATGTCGGAGATAACAGAGTCCAGRTGTAACCGGTGTCCAACTGTGATGCAGCCGAGTATCAACCTCAACAATCTCCAAGTCTCCAATCAGGTAAGTACCACAGTCTCRTATCACCGAAATCCAACYCTGATCTCTGTCCAACTGGATAGTCTCCAATCTGAAGAAGAAGAAGAAGAAGAAGAAGGAGAAGAAGAAGAGGAGAGAGAGAGAGAGGGGACTGGCGAGGGAGAGGAGGAGAGACCCTCCAAGTTCCCGATACCTCAGGCGGCAATGGCCGCCGTGCTGGCTCAGTCGCCCTGCTGCTGCTCCGCTCGCTGCTGCGCTATGCTGCGCTCCTGCTTCAGCCCCTGCGCTAAGTTTAGCGCAGCACTGACTATGTCGTGCCGGTAGAGTTCCGGTAAGCCGATCCCCCTACTGAGGCGGATACCGGTACTTATACCGGTGGGCAATGGTCTGGCCTCAATGCTGCGAGGCCAGGCCAGACCCTGGACCGTCCAGATGGACGGTTCAGCCTCAATCGGCGGGCGGCAGCTTCAAGAGCGCCGCCAGGCCCAAACGAAGTGTCGTTTGGGTCTACCCGATGGTGATGGTCCAAAATCAGGCCTTTAGGGCCTGTAAACCCCAAAGGTCGGGCCTTTAGGCCCTGGTGTGTCCCTCCGGCCCTAAGTCGGGTCGGGTAGGGCCCGTGTGAATCGAAGATGTAACACGCTCCCCCTCTTAAAAGTCCGAGCTACCTGCGAGGACCCGCTCTCTTTTTTTTTTTTTTGGTAAGGGGTTTGTTTGTATACAAAAGAGAGAGAGAGAGAGAGAGAGAGAGAGAGAGAGAGAGAGAGAGAGAGAGAAAGAAAGAGAGAGAGATCCCCTTAACACGGCTCAAACGGCCCATGCAAGCAATCAAAAGGTTCCTCGCAGCCATATAGCGCAGACCCCTCACCAAAACGAGGCAGGCAGTGAATATGAAGTAGAGCACAAGCTGGCCGAATATATACTCACGTAGCTAGGCCCTATTGGTCTTTGCACGTGACTCTTAGGGCTTGGCTGCACTACTCACGAAATGTGCAAAATTAAAAATTAGAATGAATCTTATGCAAAACGTCGAATATACGTCACCCTCTGTTTTGTCTTTTGTGCATTTGGTGAGTAGAGGCCCTTAGGGCCACTGCATGTATTCCTAAGAAAAGAAAAACGAGAAAAAAACGTATTCCTAAGAAAGAAAAAACGAAAAAACAGAGAAATAGCGACTCGTAACCGAGATGCACAAACCTGAATTCGAATCCAAACTATATATTCCCTGCCCACGCTCACGAAAGATAAGTTTGAAGTGAACCTCTGCATGACGGAGGGTCCTAGCAAATACGCTGTAGGGAACCTTCGAAAAAGAGGCTGGACACAACTAGGACATGAATTCTCTCTCTCTCTCTCTCTCTCTCTCTCTCTCTTTCACACTCACACACACACACACACACAAAAGGGGTCTGAAAGGGGGTCCGAAAACCCCCAATAGATGAGTGCGCTGGGGGGCCCAGTCCCCAACCGCGTGCCCTGCCCGGCCAGGCCGCCTGGGACCTCCCCCAGGCCCCTGCCGGTCACCTGGGCGGCCCGGATCCCCACTCAGTTTTTTCCCCAATTTTGAGCTAATATAATAATATTTGAAAACATATGAATGACCTGCGTGACTGTTTCCTGACTTGTTTTATTTGTTGCTTGTCTATTTTTTGCCAATATTGTGTTTTTTGCCAGCAGTTATGTACGTTGTGAACTGCAATTCACGGACTTGTTATACAAAATGTCACGATTTCTCTTGCAAAGATACATTGCTGTCCTCTCTATGTCTTTTGTTTCTTGCTTGGTTGTTGGCGAGGTCATGTTTGTCTTTGTTTTCATATGTCCGATTATGGACACTTGGACCGGGCTGTTGGGGCGAATGTCATGGGACCAATTTTGGCCGATGTGAATGGGTCACGTGCCTGGTGAAAATCAGCACCCCCCCCTGCATAGTTTGTTCGCCAGCAGTTATGTACGTTGTGAATTGCAATTCTCCAGGAAGAGGGTTTGCTGCCTACCCTTCTCATATTTCAGGGATTCGAAAACATGTCTATTTGTGAACGCCTGGATGGTCTGTACCATTCAGCCGCCACGTGCGCTGGGTTCCTTTTCTTTTTTTTATTTGTTTATTTGAACTCGAATTGTTGGCTCTATTTTTGATACTTCTTTGGCTTGAAATTTCCCCCGTCGTCAGACAAGATGATGATGTGAATTGCAATTCTCCAAGAAGAGGGTTTATTGCCTAACGTTCTCATATTTTAGGGATTCGAATTCATGTCTGTTTGTGAACGCCTGGATGGTCTGTACCATTCAGCCTCCACGTGCGCTGGGTTCCTTTTCTTTTTTTTATTTGTTTATTTGAACTCGAATTGTTGGCTCTATTTTTGAAACTTCTTTGGGTTGAAATTTCCCCCGTCGTCAGACAAGATGATGATAAAACAGGGAAAAAAAGGAAAGGAACCCTATGCCCGCGTCTATGCAGATTCGAAGTGAGTTTATTATATATTTTTTTACTTTTTAAAAAAATTATATATATTTTTTCAATTTATGGCCTTTGTCTTTCTGTATTCGGCAGGTTATGTGTCGCCAAAAATCAATGTTCCAGCGCAATGTTTCGAGATACTTCCAGCTGGTAAGATCACTGATGTTTAATCTTGTGGTGATATTTTATAACTTATGAAGTATCTCCATTCCATATAAAATTTGGAAGGAATTTCACTCTATTTTTAGAGACCAGCAAGTTTGCAAAGCGGGCTGTCTGATATATACCTGAATAGATTTTTAAGTTTGAACCTTTTTTTTTGGATTACAAATTGGAATAAAAATAGGGTACCGGATGTGCGATTAATGTACTCTTGGACCAAATGTGTCCGTGAGACTTCTACCCTAATTATCTTGGATCCTGGATAACAGGTTTACAGCCAATCTGTGGGTGACACTTCTTTTCTAAAAATAAGGGGTGCTTGAACTAAGTGGAGACCCCCT